CCCCAACTTCTCGAAAAGGTGAATAATCACCAAAGTAAATGCAAATGTATAACTGTGGCAAATAAAATAGTATTCTTGAAATTTTAAAATGCAGCTGAAGAACTAAAAGATAAATTTGAAGAAATCTCCCAGAAGGTAGAGGAAACAGAAAAAGAGATTTAAAAAATACAAAAACAATGATCTCTGGAGGGTAAATGTGGACAATGCAAATCCGTTTAGGGGGAATCCTCCCCTCCCCACCCCCAAAACAGTAAAAAGGGAAAAAAACATAAAGAGGGAGAAATCAAAGAGAGAAGGAAGTTCTGGCTGGGTCGGCCTGTGTGAAGAAGGCCCCACGAGCCACCGAGGTGGGGACTGTGAGCGCCTGTGACAGGACCGGCCTCAGTGGTGGGTGCTGTGTCGTTAGCCGTGACTCCGTGGTCTCAGGACATGTTGTACCCCACGGCCACATGCCCAACAGCGAGGGACGTTCCCCAGGGGAGCCTCAGTAGGAACTCGTCCTGGGTGGAAGGTCAATACACCAGGGGCGCAATCCGGGCCGGTACTGTGCCCCGCCCTCAGGGGTCAGGTGCAGGGCTGAGGGAGCTGGAACAGCAGGCAGGTGCCACATGGGCCCAGGAGTGACCGGTGCACCCCCGGGTCAGTCTGCCTCTCTCCTGTCAGGCTATCCATTCAGACACTGTGAATGCACATTTTTCGAAAGCAAATAAACAGAAATACGTTAGGTCTGAGACCTTGATTTCCTGAGATAATTTTCCCAGAGGGGTTTCTGCCACTGACTTTGAATGTTAAAAAAAAAATCTTGGGGTGCCTGGGTGGCTCAGTCGGTTGAGCATCCAACTTCAGCTCGGGTCATGGTCTCCTGGTCTGTGGGTTCGAGCCCCGCGTTGGACTCTTGTGCTGACAGCTCAGAGCCCAGAGCCTACTTCGGATTCTGTGTCTCCCTCTCTCTCTGACCCTCCCCTGTTCATTCTCTCTCTCTCTCTGTCTCAAAAATAAATAAATGTTAAAAAAAAAAAATAATAATAATAAGACCTAGGGGGACCTGGGGGGGCTCAGCCAGTTAAGTGTCTGACTTCGGCTCAGGTCATGATCTCGTGGTTCGTGAGTTCGAGCCCCACGTCGGGCTCTGTGCTGACAGCTCAGAGCCTGGAGCCTTCTTCGGATTCTGTCTCCCTCTCTCTCTGCCCCTCCTCTGCTCGTGTTCTGTCTCTCTCTCTCTCTCAAAAATAGATAAACATTAAATTTTTTTAAGTAAAAAATTTTAAATTTTTGAAAAAAGAGCTGGTTGTCAGAGGAGGGGCCCCTGGGGTGGTGGGCCCCACCCGTCCCTGTTCCTCCCACGAACACTCTCTTGAGCACGAGAGCCGCCTTCTGATGGAAGCGTGGGATGAACCCACCATCGGTCCTGCTTGTCCATTCGTTCTTGTAAAGGGCATCGTCTTCTGTGCCTTTGTTGGTAGCGAAACACAAACCCACAGACGAAGGCGCTTCAGGTGTGTGTAACAACCGGCAGAAACCGGAATCTCGAATTCAGTTGAATTATGCTAAGAACATGAGTGGAACCATAATTAATAGTTTGCCTGTCATTCGTCAATATGGAATCTAACTGTTGAATTTTTAAACATTATGAGCTATTTATACGTGTATTTCTTGATAATATTACCAACGTTCAGTTGAACATTAGCCGTTGGCAAAATGCTTCTTTCACCACTATGGTTTTATAAAAGAATTTATTTTTTTAGTTTATTTATTTAAAATCAAGTTAGTTAACACAGTGTGGAGTCTCGGCTTCAGGAGTAGAACCCAGTGATTCGCCTCTTACGTCCGACGCCCGGTGCTCCTCCCGACAAGTGCTCTCAAAAAATTAAAAATAGAACCACCCACAACCCAGCAACTGCACTACTAGGTACTTATCCAAGCAAAACAAAAATGCTGATACGAAGGGGCACAGGCACCCGATGTTTGTAGCAGCGCTGTTGACAACAGCCACAGTGTGGAGACGGTCCACACGTCCATCGACTGATGAATGGAGAAAAGAATCTGTTTCAAAAGTCAAACACCTGCCTCTGTCACAGCATCAGCACCGAACACGTTGGCAATGTATCGTTTCACCTTTTGCTCCGGTAGATGATGTTGTATTTTTCTCAATTATCGGGGTTCCTCTTTTCACTTCTTTTAGTACATCTAATGATGGCCATGGGGTTTCTATTTTACCCAAACAGACTGGTTTTTCTTTGTTTTTTCCTTCTGTTCCTTCACGTTCTCTATTTTTCTTCATACCCCAAACAAATTATTTTTTCACATGTTTAAGATTCCCACTAGATCGATCCCAACTTCCCTGTATCGTTTCTTTCACTCCTCCCCCTATGTGTGTAGGAATATCTTATTCACCTTGCTTTATAACGAGTCACAGTCCAGCAGAGCTCCGAAGAGCGAGCCCTCGGTAAATATGGCTGAATTCATTGAAGGCGTTCGTTCTTGGCCAGAATTCTTTGCATCTGGCTTTGTTGCTGTTCACAATATCGTGATCATACGTGAGACACTGAAACTCAGAGACGTTATGCAGGTGTATAAGTAAACCGGTGATGATAAATGTAGCGATGGTCATATGTAAACATACCACGCCATCCTGAGCCTTTACGCACAGTATGCTAGATCCCTTCTGTATCCAGTCTTCCCTAGAGACTGAAAAATTCTGGAAAATGTAATGCTTATAAAACAGCAAGCTCAGGTCATGAGGTGATAACTGGTAATGATTTAGCCACCCAAGTCAGCCTGATTTTAGATCCTTTAACCATTGAACATTTCATGGGGAGCCTGGGGGGCTCAGTCGGTTGAGTGTCTGACTCTTGATTTCGGCTCAGATCATGATCTACAGCTCGTGAGCCTGGAGCCTGCTTTGGATTCTGTGTCTCCCTCTCTCTCTCTCTCTCTCCCTCAAAAATAAATTAACATTAAAAATTAAAATAAAACAACACATTTTACTTGTATATCCTAATCCAATCGCTTAGAATTCGTCCTGCCCCTGTCAGTGGGAGTGCTGTCTTTTTATTTTTTCTGTTTTTCCTTCTCCTTTTTTTCCCTCCCTCCCTTCCTTCTTTCCTCTTGTCATTTGGATCAACAAACCCACACTGCCCACCACGGGGTGTAGGCAGCCAAGATACAGAAGCAGGTAGAATTGTCCCTGCCCCGAGTGATGCACCGTCCAGGGGCTTGGCACGCAAGACAGATGGCGAGCTCATAGTAAGGTTTCACGGAGATTATCAAACCCTCAGGAGGAAGTGGGCAGAAGTTCTCTTGTTTTAAGTGGCAACGTTGAAAATAAAAAGACAAATGCTTTCTCTTTCTGGGAATTTATGATTTAAATCTCCTGTGGTCTACATCCTTGTGTTTTTGGCAAGACAGCGTGCTCAAACACTTATTCACTGCCTGTGTGGGTGAAGTCACTCCTTGAGAAGAAGTATTCCCGGAAAGGATTTACAGCTCCGTCCCCAAGGGTCAACAGCAGCAGACAGGGATGCCGGGTCCCAGACAACAGGAAGGAATTGCTGAGTTCTGAGGAAAATGGCCTAATGACCTTTGTTTTTTATTTAACCCCAGAACCTAGTTGCCTGTTGTTCAAACAAAGCAATTTGATATGATAGTTTATTGCTGGAAGGGTTATGTGGCATCTATGTGAAGCTGGTTAACTGAATTGTCAGTGTTATCTTGTAATCTCTGCGAGGGTGACTGGAGGGATCCTGGACCACAGGGACGGGAGTTCTAGAAGCTTCTCGGGTCCAGCACAAGGTCTCAGACTGCAGAGCCGACTTTGCAAGTGTCTGGGGAGACCCTTTCCCAGAGTCCCAGGTCCGGGAGAGTGCTTCCCAGGGGAACCCTCGTCCACAGGCAGGACAGATGACACAGGGTCCATGTCTGCTGCTGCCACAGGGTGTTCTCCATGTATGTATGTCCCCTTCTCACGTGCTAACGAAATCAGAGGCACTTCACACGGTGGTTCGTATTTTGCAGATGGAGAAATGGAGGCACAGGGAAATTAAGTGACTTTGCCACAGTCCCAAGCTGGGGAGGACCAGGAAGAGAACGTAGAGGGACCCTGACTCTGGGCCCGCGTCCTGCCCACGGAGCCACGCTGCCTCCCTTCCTAGAAGAGAAGACGCCCCGCAAGGTACAGTGGGCCCCTGCGCCCCAGGGTGTGTGCGGCCCGCCCTGGGGGGACGTCGCCTGGACCACCAGTGTCAGGAACACATCCTCCCTCTGTGAGAGCAGCTCTCACCCCTCCTGGGCCCTCGCCCCACCCTCCCCTCCTCCCGCATCAGAGTGTCCCTGCCTTCTCTATCCACCCCATCTCTCGTCCTGTCCACCACCTCTCCCCCTCCAAGGGCAGACACACTCCATGCTGGGAGTTCAAAAGAGTTCGAGAGACATTTTCTTCAGCCCCCATAAGCTCTTGTCTTATCTTGGTCCTTCCGGGGCAGTCTCTCGACCTTCCACCTGGCCTCCCTCGCTGCCCGTCCGCTGTGAGGTTCATGGAAACCGCCCCCCTCCCACTGAAACCGCTCTCTCAAATCCCACCTGGATCTCATGAGCACCTGTTCCAAACAATGTCAGGGTAGAAGGGGTTTTAAGCACCAGGCAGACCCACATGCCAAAATCCAGTGGGTGAATCCAGGACGGACCCCAGCGAGGCAATGCCACCCACACTGGACCACTTCCCAGTGGGGGTCAAGGTGGGACCAATGAACTGCACGCAACATTCCCCCCTCAAAATCCTGTGGTCACAACTGAACGCACCTTCCTCCCCTCCCCCACACCCCTTCTAGAACTTTCTCCTCTCTTGCTTTCTGTTCAGTGCTGTTTCTTTAGGTGTCCTTCCCATCACTTGAATAGTCCCGTCATCTTCTGTCAATGTGCCATACCCCACTGCTTGCCCTTTGAGAGCCCCTTGAGGTGGGGGGCGGTGAGTCTCCCCTTGAGAAGGAATGCTGACACACAAACGGGTGTCCCACAGTGACAGCCTGGTGAGGGCAGGCAGCACCGTGACAGCAGCCACACAGCCACCAAAGCAGGGACACCTGGGGATAGTGCCACCCGCCACACGGGCAGAGCGGGTGCCACACAGTTTACGGATTTCCTCTGGACCTACTATGTGCTTGTACACCCGCCTGGCCACCCCATGAAGTGCCCGGGGACATCGTCCTCTCTGTACCATTTGTACGGGGCTCAAGGGGCAAAGACACAGTAAGTAGAAAAAACTCAACTTCACGTTTAAGACTCCAAGCCCAGCCCCTTCTCGCCAAAACTCATGAATATCTCCCATTTACTGATCTCTGAAATATCATAATTTCTGAAAGTCTTCTTGGGAATGGTGTTCCTCTCCCCTGAACACAAACATGCTTTACATGTAGACATAAGCTTTTCTAATTCTTCTGTTTTTTCTTTTAACTTTTTTCTCCCCTTAAAAAACAAGCAAAACATTTTTTAACTGGATTTTAAAAGTACAAAGTTCCAATTATAAAGTAAATAACTCACAGGGATAAAAAGTACAGGAAAGGGAATATAGTCAAAAGTGTTACAACAATTGTATGGTGACCGTGGCGAGCCTTTCATAACATATACAAATGTTGAATCACTGTGTCGTGCACCAAAGCTGATATGGAGTGTGGTGAGGATACTTTAATTTAAAATGAAAAAGTGGGGGCGCCTGGGTGGCGCAGTCGGTTAAGCGTCCGACTTCAGCCAGGTCACGATCTCGCGGTCCGGGAGTTCGAGCCCCGCGTCAGGCTCTGGGCTGATGGCTCCGAGCCTGGAGCCTGTTTCCGATTCTGTGTCTCCCTCTCTCTCTGCCCCTCCCCCGTTCATGCTCTGTCTCTCTCTGTCCCAAAAATAAATAAACGTTGAAAAAAAAAAATAAATAATCAAAAAAACTTTAAAAAAAAAATAAAATAAAATAAAATGAAAAAGTGAATTCAAAAATTCCAAACTAGAAAATCAGTTGGGTAATTTGAAATACTTAAGTAAATAGACAACTCTATCAGTGCTTTTCCGGGTCAAAACACATTTGAATCTTTGAAATTTTTTTACACATTTTACTTGTAAGTAATCTCTACACCCAACATGGGGCTTGAACTCACAACCCCAAGATCAAGAGTCACATGCTGTTCCAACTGAGCCCGCCAGGCGCCCCTTGAATCTTTGAATTTTATTTTTGGTGCCACTTTATCAAAATTTGGGTTCGGAGAAGTGAAGGTAGAAAATGCTGAATACAGACCGAACATAGTCTCGGAGAGCACACAGCTGGGCTTATGAATATAGCACATTATCTACTACTTATTAAAAGCTGTTCTTGGGTCACATTTGTGGGTTTTTGTAGCTTCAGAAGGAGAGGTGTGGCCTCTCGTGGCCTTGCCACCTGAGGGTACATGTAGCGGAGCAGGTGTTCATTAGAGGAGGGGCTGGGCGGGCTCGTGGACACGTCTCGGGGGTGTGGAGCAGACCCGCGTGAGGCCGCACACGCCCGGCCCCGGGAGACAGGGCACTGGCAGGAGGGCGGGGAGCCACTCGGAAACTGCAGCCGAGCCGGAGAGCCTGCGGCTCTTCCCCAGGTCCTGGCTGGGTCGCCGACACCTTTCACGTATCCTGGGGGAAACACCACCAGCCAAGGGGGAAAAGGCCACAAGAACATACTCCCAACGGATAAGATGGGTAAATGGATTAATGCCTTAAATGTACAAAGAGCTATTGCAAATCGCTGTGAACATTTCAAAAACAGGCCGAGAGTGAGAATAAGGGCTTCTCAGTGGCCAGAATGCAAGAGGCCAGCACGTGAGAAGGCACACACGCTCACCCCTGGACAGGGGAAGAGAGGTGGGAGCTCTAGTGAGCGAATCTATTTCCCTCTGGAAAAGTGACACTTGTGTGGGAAAGTGCACTGTGGGAAAGCTCTTAGAAGAACCATCACACGTCACCAAAAAGCACGCAGCTTTGTACGTGTTCCAGAAGTGCCGAAAATATCGCCCTAGAGGACTAGATTATGGAGATACGCACAAAGATGTGTGTGATATTTATTGCACTTCTTTTTATAGCGGAATGAGACAAATAACTGAAGTTAAACAACCTAAATGTCCATTAGTTGGGGAGCTTACAGGGATGCTTGGATAAACCACAGGACACACGTTCTGGGGAATACTATGCACCCATTCAAAGGAGTCGAGTCCACGGCGTTGGCCTGGAGAGGCAGCTGTGACTCCTAGTAAGTGAAAATAGCAACTCACAGAAAAGCCCGCGTAGCACAGAGTCTGCTGTTGTCAATAGTCCACACACCGAGGGACAGTGCAGTGTGTGTTCCCAATGATGCTTTAGGAGGAGAGAGCGCTACTCTGCACGCGGAAGGTGCTGGAGGGAGGAGGCGGCCATGCCCCGCTGCCCAGCGGGCAGGCTCCTACGCTCCTGGTCGTGACTGTTTCTGCCCTGGGAAAGAGAGGGAGCGTCGCTGCTTAGACGTGAGGGAGGGGGGCAGCAGGGCAGCACGGAGGGCTCTGGGGACTCGGCGAGGGACGCGGGCCGGCGGTGTCTCAGCCCACAGCCCCTCGGAGGGCCCGGCGTCGGAACAGTCAGGGCGTGAGGTAGCGCCTCCCCCAGCGGTGGGAGGGGTGGCTGTGACAGCCACCAGGCGCGGAGGGAGGGGACGGACGGATGGCGGACAGAAGTCAAATGTGATAAGGTTTCGGAGCACTTCCTTTATTCAGTCAATCACAGGAAGGCCGACCCTGGGCTGTGACAAGGTCCCTCCTCCGGAGACCCGGCGACACAGGGAGGAAAACCTTCCACCGTCAGGCAGAAAAGCCCACGACTGAGAGTCCACGCGTGGCAGGGAGGAGAGCGGCGACAGCGATGGACGTGGGGACAGGAAGCAGGGACGCGGCTCAGGAGACCCCGGGCGGCAAGGGAACACTGAACGTGGCTCCGGGGTGGATTCACAGTGACCGGCGTGCTCTGGGGGCCGCTAGGCGTGGGGTCGAGGCTGACCCAAGTTCAGGGGCCCCATGTGCGGCCAGGGTGGCGCAGCCGTGTCCCCAGTGGGTGTGGCCTGGGGACAGAGCCCCGAGGGAGCAGGGGAGTCGGGCGCCACATGGTTTCCTGAGGCATGAGCTTCGGTGAGACTTTGCGGCTGTAGGACGTGGTCGCTGGTGGCCCCTGAAGTGACACCCGACAGGTGCAAACCTCCTGGAGGCCTCTGTGGGAGCAGCCTGGCCACAGAGGAAGGAGGGGCGTGGCACCTGCTAAAGGTCAACAAAGTCAAAGGGCGGAGGGGACCTGAGCCCAACGGAAAGCACGAGGGCCAGGTGAGAGGAGCAGATGGAACATTCTAGAAAGAAGGGATCCCCCACCTCACAGGAAAGTGATCTCCAAGATCGCGATCCCCGGTGGGGCCTGGGGCAGGAATCGGACGTGAGCTCCAGCCCTGCTGTGTGTCCTGCATGGCTAGCGTGGGCCCGGAGCTCCCAGCCTCCATCAGTCCTGGTGCTGCCACCTGCCACCTTCAAGGGCTGCTACCAGAGGGGACCCACGGGACGCAGGGACGCAGGGGACACAGGGACACAGGGAACGCAGGGACACAGAGGACACGGAGATGTAGGGATGCAGGGAGCACGTGGTACAGCACTCGCCCGCAGTCAGGACGTGGGGGCGGCCAGAAGCGTCCGGAAGGCAGACTTCTCTATGCGGGGCGGGCTGGATGGGGGTCAAAGCAGACACCGGGCAGGTGTGCGTGGGTGACCCGGCTTGCTGTGAGGGACGAGCGGGGACGCTCCTCAGGACGGTGGCAGCCAGGTGGCCCTCCTGACGGGAAGACCAGGGGCGCCGGACGTGCCGCTCCCCCTCGCCAGCCGGCCTCCACCTGTGCGGCCCGTGGAAGGCCTGTGCCGACTGCACTGCTGTGCGTGATGCGGCCTGAGCCCGGGACTTGGGTCCGTACCACGCGCGGCCGCTCGGCAGACCGGGAGACACCTGGCCCGTCACCCCAGCGCCCTTGGGTTACTTGGGACTAGTTCTTCCCCGGGAGCTCACAAAGCTGTGTCCTCCTCTGATCTCCCAACACCCCGGGCTCCGCGTGGGAGCAGAGACCGGGGACGCACCGGGCTAGCTCCTTGTCCAAGCTCGTGCAGC